GATAGCTAGCGCCACACGCTGTTGCTAGGTCTGGAGCATGGTGGACGTCATGATCATCTCAACCTCTCCCACCCGGAGCAGGAAATTCTCTCCGTCTACCCATGAAGGTTTTAACACTCATCATAAGCGGCCTGGGTCGGGGGAGTTATCCGTGTCGACGGTTGTGGCATGGACGCAGTCGACGCCGACATCTTCTGCTCTAGGTACTCTAGCAGGGTATTGTCATAGCTTGAAAACGCCTCTGGGCCCGCGCGATTCACTTTAGTTCCTTGTAAAGCGAGGTGTTAAAACCCTTAGTGCCAAGCATAGACTACAGCTTTTTAAGCCCGTCCTGCATGCCCAGGGGCAAATACGAGCGCTGCTTCATTTCACAGAGGATCAGTCGTAACGACTCAGGTGCAGATTGACTACAAGTGTTACTAAGTCCAGCGGGGCTGCCGTAGCTCTTATGCTTCGAGAAAGCTAAGCTTAGGTCACCAATATTTTGTTTTGTGCTAGAACCAGTATGAGTGTAGCGGATCGCAATTCGCTAACCCCAAGAGTAACTTGAACCCAAGGCAAATAGACTCTTCCGTTCAATATGTAAATTGTATTTCTTTCTTTTACTTGCGGCAGAGCCGTTATCTCTAAATCTATAGGTTTTTAAATTAAATATAATCCCAATTGAAATGTGTAGCTAATGGCAGTCCCGCCACGTGGTGGCTTCTTGTAACGGCGTAGCCACACTAATTTGTATTCACACCATCTTGGGTAATCCAACCCTTAATACCAGTGTACTTAAACCCCCCCGTTTCACGATTCAACGTATCCTTGCACATTTTTAGCAGTCTGTATTTGACACCTACAATGAATCCGCATATAATGTACTGTTTCCTACAGTTGCGCGTCGTACGTAAGTGTGGAATGCTTTCCAGGCAACAGGACGTAGCATGATTCACAAACACGGTGATGTTGATATCAATGACCTACAGCCCTGAGCTGTAAGTCTTACCTGTCTCAGTCGATTTCTCAAGCTGACCACGAGCTCGTCAAGGCTTCAAGAACCCAGTCTATTTCCATTATGCTGTCTTGCGCCTACTAGACGTCGACAGTTCTTCGCGAGATGTTTGTCGGACGACCATGCGTCAGTGAACCACGAGCTCGTCAAGGCTTCAAGAACCCAGTCTATTCCCATTATGCTGTCTTGCGCCTACTAGATGTCGACAATTCTTCGCGAGATGTTTGTCGGACGACCATGCGTCAGTGAAGGACTGATCAAGCTTCGCAGTCAAGAGAGAAGAGGACATACAAGGGACAGATGTTTGTACTTCCACAGATATAACATCCAGAGTCCCGCGGGGCTACACACCAAATATGAGATTTCTTCTTTGATCCCCAGCATGACTGGCATTTATCACCTCCAGCGAGCAAAAAGAGTTTCGACTTTCAGTACCACGTCCGACCGTTGCGGCGCTCTGCTATCATAGCAAAATTTACTGCTTCCACTGAAGTGGTTACTTGCGCGAAAGATTTGGTACGAGCAGCACTCGTTCATAGCCCATTCTGAGGATGGTAAATGTAATTGTCTCTGATTTAGGATCTGACGCCGTTGCGGGGATAATTTGGATATCGTCCGCAATTTTTCGTCACTGTTGATGGATCAACATGAAGTTCGAACGCACCCAATACATCTAGCTACTACCCACTGAAGACGTCGTGTCAAATATTCCCAAGTGGGAAACGCATTTTGTACCAAACAGTGTAATTTAGCGCTGCCTCCCGGATTGAAGATCTGACGAACGACGCTCGACCGCCTTGTTTTAAGCATAGCCAGCTTTCTGCCCATCTCAACTACCCTCATCAAAAAGAAAGAATCCCTCCGTCTTGGTCCTTATATTGCTGACATATCAACATTAGCGGCATCACAGTGTGCGCTATGTCTTCTACTATTGGCGCCTGATTAAGGAGGAGAGTCTACCAGCGCAATCTTAACGCTGGTGAGCGATTCCAGGCAAGCAATTACCGTCTCTGGCTCTCTGACTGATTATGTCGGGACCAAAATAACCAATAGGCTTCAAAGCTTATCTAGTTCTCACTTTTGCGCGATAGTTAAGATCGGCAAATGAAGTTTGTCCTCCGATGCCGTTTAGTTTGTTGTGGAAAGAGTGTCACGCGGTTTGTACTGTACAATTATATACAGTACAAACCGCGTGACACTCCTTCCACATAATTGTATGACTGTACGAAATTAACATTACATTTTTGTAATAATGAAGAGTTATGTGGTGCACGTGGGCTGTAAGACTTAGCGCCACAATACATTTGATATTCTAATAATTTATTTATTTAAAAAAATCCAAATAGAACACATTTTCAATACATAATACCAATTATATAGTACTAAAAACTCTCACTTTCACTTTTGGTTGAATCAAAACTTCTATGCAATGATTAAAGTATCGTGATATTTCATATAATGATTAATAATACAACTATATAATATGCATGATGCATGACGTTTGGCTTGCTGTTCTATCGTTCTCAACAAAACCAGTGCTTTTGTACTTTTCAGCTTTGCACAAAAGAGACGACCCAGAACCAAATGATACTAATCAACCATTTAGAGTTATCGAGATAATCGTCTCCAAAGATGGCCGATCGATTTTCGTACCTATGGGAAGTCCTGAGAAAAACGCTGAT